ACAGCGATTGTTCCCTCAGTGAGTCCTGTTGTTCAGATAAAGTCTGTAGACAGACATGTTACAACTGTTCGTACGACTACCAGTGTGGCAGAAATGCTGCAATAGCAAATTCATCAGTAGTTCGTCTTCTTGTTACTGTACGTACGACTCCGATTGTGGCATTGGAGAGGATTGTTGTGGGGGTGTCTGTTATTCATCATTCTGTGGTTGGAGCAGTGGAGCTATTGCAGGTGTTACTATCGGCACAATTATTTTCTTCGTCTTCATGCTTACTATTGTTTCCCGTCTCTATCGTACATCCGGTACTGTGGTCGTCACCTGCCAACAGCCATAACAACAAATGGTCTCAACTCACACACACATGACGACGCAACAAGTACATGCTCCTCCGACGGTGAACTACAATCCAGCTGGTTACAACCTGCCTCCTAAAGGCTTTAATCAGGCATCTCCAGCTTACCCGAGCTATCCACCACCACCAAACCAATATCCTCCACCGCCGGGACAAGCTTAAGCGGCGCCGATGACGGCTGCAATAAACGCTGGACAGCCGAACAAGGTCCAATAAAAGTAACCACCCAACAGAACTGTTCCCGTGAAATACATATGTTTCGGTTTAATTACATAAACATAAACGTAGTCAAGTTACTGAATGCTGAATGTTATGTTAGTATTTTTTAGGGATAGTTTCAACATTTTAAGGAGTACATGAAGTATAGAATGACCTGTACGCTGTATATATACAAATTTAATCTACCATTTTGCTTTCGTCACACAAAGAAAAACAAAAAGTAGACATAGTTTCCTTGTGGAAAGGATTTTTGTCCTAGAAAGGTGAGTTGGGCCATTTGCATCATTTTTCCAGATAGAATATTGTATTCTTAGAAATGTCGTTTCACTTAACTGCCATATTAAACCGATGTGACTGTATTTGATCCAGACTATGCTTCCATTGACAGTTTTCAATCTATTTCCGCCTATGAAATTTTTAAGATGGCAAATGTCGATCGTGTCGTATAACAGTCAATCTCCGTAATAGAATATCATAGCTTAAATTTTTTTATTGGCCAGGTTGTTGTTGCAATATTTCAGCTGCTACCTTTCTATAGAACTCTACTTTTAGCTGATCGAATCTCCAGCAGATCTTTCGACAGCATATGCTTTGTCGATGTTGAGCAGTATTTAGCTTTGTGTGTTGTAGCAATGTTTTTGAATAATAAATTGTTATTTATCAGCTGCCGCGCATAGGGTTCAGTTTGATATGCAGGTGACCGGTTCGCAAGTGAATTTTAATTCGGATATTCCGAACTTTTTATTTGTACTCTTAAACGTGACGGAAATTTCATCTGAACGATTTATTGAGAAGTTTGTGTTTGGGCGATTTACTTTCATCAAAACTGACGAGATCAGTCGAGACCAGCCAGGTGTAAAATATATGCATAGTGCTACATCTTTGCTTGCAGTATTAAACCTAATTATGCATTTGTCGCGGAAGCTTTTCTATGATGAGACCTGATGAAGGAGACATTAATTAGCTAAAAGAAACCGGTTAAATCCCGATTTTATCCTGCCATATTTAGTCTAAAAAGGACCTTGTATTTGTGGACATCTTCATCATATTGGCAGATGCAGACATTTTTTGAAATTAAAATTAAAATTGGGCTTTTTGAGACCCAAAACCTACTAGAAGAAGATGGTTTCGTTAAGTTGGGCTTGCACTGAAGAAAGAGGTCTCGACAATCGCAAGTTGGCTCGTATCAGAGAAGTAAAATGCAAGGAAAACTGTGATGTTTTATAATCCTAGTCATGTGGTTCACGTGATGTAATTACTATAATCTCAATAGAAGCGGATTTGTTGACGTTGATTTCACAAATAAAAAGTCTTGACTGTGCTCTGTTCTGTTTCAAAGCACACAGGAAGCGGCTAGAGCACGAAAGAAGCGCAGGGAGAAACACGAGACGTAGTCAGCTAGTAGCGACTGAACATCGATGTATATTTTTTTAAATATATTTTTTATCTTGTCTAATATTTATTCTGCTCTGCTTCAACGTAGTGAGCACTGTTCCACGCGAAAATCGACTTGCAGACTTCCTATATATATATATATATATATATATATATATATATATATATATATATATAAAAGTGAAAGAATCTAAGGGGACGTATCGATTCTCTGTTACTCTGAGTTTCGCGCCTAAGCGCTCGTCAGACAACTTTCTGACGAGTTCTGTCTGACGAGCGCTTAGGCGCGAAACTCAGAGTAACAGAGAATCGATACGTCCTCTTTGATTCTTTCACTTATTTATACTCAGCTCCGCTACCACAGCATTGAGCATTTTATGCCAAGGTAGACTCTACCCCCACATTTGTATATATATATAAATGAATGTGGGGGTTGAGTCTACCTTAGCATAAACTGCTCAATGCTGTGGTAGCAGAGGTAAGTATACGAAAGTTAAAGAATTAAAGAGAATGCAGACCGGCGCTTAGGTGCGAAACT